AATATCTTTTACTTTTCCATTCTATGAAGAGCCATTTATCATCAAAAGAACATCGAATTTCGGTGGGTATTTTCAAAGAATTAACTTATGTAGGTCAGTAATTTGTCTGTTTCTTGTTCTAATTTTACACAAACCAGAAATGAGGATGTATCTCTTTGGGGTGCCCTCCACCTGCACCCAGGGGCACACGAACAATTTGACTTCCTTGTTCTGAATACAATTTAAAATGGAAATTAATGGTTTATGTTATACTCTTCAGATCTGTATCATGAATGGCAGCTTTGGGATCCTTCTGGGGTTCCCAACCACAGTGGGTGAACTCAGCTTTCCAGGAAACTCAGGATTCCCAGTATTGTATTGGGACTGAGCTTCCACAAATGGACCCTCATTCTGGAACGTGGCTAGAGACATCGGGGGTTATGCAACAAACGATGGGTCTCTTCCGCATTCTGCAGAACACTTAGGAATTCTTAAAGTGAGACAATTTACTTACAGATAAGAATTGGTATTGGCTATGGTGAGTCTCTTGGATTAACCGTCAGGGAGGCAGAATTTGTTCACATATCGAGCTCTGTGCTAGAAGCGTCTATATAATTATTTCAATTAAGGCTCACAACCCCAAAAGAAAGATATTATTTTATTGTACAATTAAGAAAGGCGAGGTTCAGAGAAGTTATATAACATCTTTAGGGTCATATGGTTAGTAAACCTGGACTCAAAGGTACAACAGTGGTTAGGTGGCTGCACCCAGGTGGCTCAAGGGCCATGCTACAGTTGGTTGTGCCGTAGAGCCAGTCTCCAAATCTGATGGGAATTTCAGAGGATGAATGAGCATGCTGGCCCAGCACTGGAAACACCAGTGCAGAGTGCTCCGATACAATTCAGCAGCAAGGAATTTCCACAGCATCATGTGTCTTGACACTTAGAATAGCAAATGCTTTTTTATTTCAATGAAATAGAAAAAAAAAGGAAAACAACTAGTACAGTTCATACTCAATGTACTGATTGTGAAAATGGGTTCTATGAAGAGAGCTCGGGTCTCTCCCAGAGAGAGTCCAGGCTGCGTCCTGTCTGCCAATAATATAAGATGTTGAAGGATTGTCCCAGAAATGACTGAATATCTACAGAAATGGTCTATTTTAATACTAATTCCTACTGTCACATTCATTTTAATTGCTCTTTTAGATGCCACTTTCCCGACTGACTTATCATTTTGTTTCCAGGCACAATAACAACTCCATATAACGATAATCCTTGTCTACATAATTTGCCCAGCAGCATTATACACAACTTTTAGTTAGTCTTTTAAAATCAATTGTTTGGAGCTCATTTTTGGTTGAATACTCTATAAGCAAGTCAAATATGTTGTAAATTAAAA